TATCGTATTCGTATTATGACGTCGTGCTAGTAATGTAATATTATATGTTATAATATTCTTGAGAGGGGAGGCATGTCGCATACGACTTGTTTACCACTTCCGTGTCACTGAGAATGTTCTAGAACCGTACTGTGTCAGGGTGGAATTTTTAGAAACTGGTTGAATAGGTAATGGAACATTCTAGAAATTTGTAGTAAGTTCCAGACTCATTATGTATGCTGATGTAATGGTCTATTTATAGACAGTGTGGGTATATATAGGGGAGTTGTTCAGCACTGAGATCAGATCGGAGATCTCGTTGAATTGTATTGGAGTTTAAGTATCTAGTTATTGGAGTAGTGGAGTTTTACCGCGTTATTGTACTTGATGTTTGCAGAGTATAATAATACCAGTACCAGTTGAAACCTCATCTGTTGACTCCATGTTCGTATGTTATCATCGCCGCCAGGGAAGTCTTTATGTTACTGTTGCCATTTTGGTATTTGAACCATCACACCTGTACTGTACCAATTACGGTAATATTACGTTGCGTGTGACAGGGTGACTTAGACTCAATATGGAAAATGATATAAAAAATTGTAGACAATAAAGAGGGCTGAATGTAGATTCAGAAAATATCGACAGCATATTTGTTCAATAAATCAATTGTCCATATTTTATCGTTTCGACTTACCAATATGACATTAAAAACACTAATCCAGGTGCCGTTGATAATCCTATTAAATATCTCCAATCTCTCACAAAATACGCCAATATACCATACACCTAGAATTACGAAGACTTGTATTACTTTACAAAACAAATATTAATATTGATATATTGTATAATAGATATATGTACATTTATAAATAAAATAAATCCTTATCAATCAATAAATCATTCCCTGTCAATAATTTGAGACAATGACAACAGAGATTGCCACAAATATAATAATAAATCATGATTCTTTAAGCATTTGAATGTAAGGATATATATATAACTAAAGTGGTCACCAGTTAGCCATATTTAATGAGATCACAAAACAATATGGTCACCAGTTTTAATGAGATCACAAAACAACATGGTCACCAGTTTTAATGAGATCACAAAACAATATGGTCACCAGTTTTAATGAGATCACAAAACAATATGGTCACCAGTTTTAATGAGATCACAAAACAATATGGTCACCAGATTTAATGAGATCACAAAACAATATGGTCACCAGTTTTAATGAGATCACAAAACAATATGGTCACCAGTTTTAATGAGATCACAAAACAACTGCATTAGACGGTCACCTGATGTCCTTACGCAAATTCACTAAATTCAATTTTTGCTGTTGCCAATTGCTGTGCAATTACCATAAATAAAACATGAATAATGGACTGTTACAAACTTTATTAACACTTTTTTGTTGATTTATCAAAATCTTATATTTAAATTTGAATGAACAAATCTGTTCTAGAGCCTGTATAACCAATATTTCCAACACAGAAATAAGCTGCTTTTATTTCAGATTTGAATAAAACAAATAATATGTTTCCATAATGATTCATATATATGAATAAACAAAGGAATATGTCAGTGCATACTCAA